GATAAATATTGGGACGAACATGTCGTGCGCGTGGTGGTTAACGACACGCCTGTAGAGCTTTAAGTCGCAAAGATCTGAAGGGTACTGCCACTACGCCCATCACCCTGAGACGAAAGTTGACAAGTCCCATGTGCCTGTAATTTCACCAGCACCTTTACCCTTCAAAACAGGAATGCAATAATACTTATACTATTGCTTGGCGGCAGAAATAGGTAAGGTTACTTACCTGGACGAACTTTTACACAAGGACCTCTACTGCTACTGCATGCTCCATCGTCGACCTCATCGTCACTTTTCATCAGGTGAGATGAAGGTCAAACACGCACTTATTTCATAAAAAAATACCTTTGAAACAATAAACCAGTGTGAGGTCAGTCCATACGTTTAGGAGTTACGATGACTCCCGTTCTTACCACCTCGTACTTGACCAAATTAAAAAACGCATGATGCCAATGAAACTTCATATTTGACATTGTTATTGTTTCGGTCGGATGTTGGACGAAGAACGAGAGTATACCTCCAGATATACAGGCAAAGGTTTGAAACTTATAACTCCGTCTTTTTAGTCGGGGTTTAAAAAGATGGTAGTCAGTCATAGTGAGAGCTCAATTGGTCATCTAAATAGTGCAAATAGGTATTAAAATTTTGAAATATCCATTTACATAGATATCAAAGCCATGAATTTAGTAATTTTAGGCCGTACCGACAACGTCCTGGTATAATAAACTGGGTGTAGTTAAGAGCCATAATACATATGATTTTACGTGATTAAAATCTTGAAAATCTTACATATAAAGATGTCAGATAATAAAATTAAGATTTTATGTAAACCGTTTGATATAATGCTTTTAACCTTTGTTTTAATTTTATAACCACTTAAATTATTAGCTTTGAAGCAAAATGTCTCAAGAGAAGTGTATTTATATTAGGTACGAGCCCTGGGATACACCTACGGTGGGGTCGGGCTTGGTCTGCAGCGCATGGTCGGCTTTGGATTACGGGGTGTGCATAGACAGTAATGAATGGTATTTGACTATTTCTCAAAATAATTGTACGTAACGAAAATCACGTTACGAAATACTACAAAAAAATTTAACATTAAGCTATACATTGGCTAAATATAATATTGACATATCTGCCCACTGCCAAACTCATTCTTTTTTGCATTCTCGAAGTCGGGTGATAACTGTATACATTCAACTTTAACCCGTTATGTAACGAAATGCATAAAAATGTTACGAAATACTAGTACAAACATGATCATAACCGAGTTTTTAAATGCCAATGGTTTGTTATAACCTGATATTACAAATGTAATACGCTTATTAAACTTTTAATTTACATGTATTGCGAAGGCATACATAAATACTCACCGTATCATGAAAAAGTTCTTTACGATTCTTTCTTGACGTTAATAGTAACGTCACGAAAATATTGACCATCACGTTTGGACTGATTGTCATGAAAAATATGGGCGAGGACACCAAACCAACAACCAATAAAGATGATTCTAGTGGTGACCATGCAAAAATCTAACGGATGAGTTCGGAAATTAACCCGTATAGAGGCGATAGGACGCCGGCGTCCCAATGTATT